ATAACGATGCCCCTAAAGTAAAGAAATAGCTAAATTCCTGGACCTTTTACAGTTCCGATAGGAAGATAGCATAGTTGGCTAGTATTCATACTGGACAAGTTCAGAGTTATCAAGGCGGTGCTAAACGCGCCATATGAGTTTTTTAGCAGATTAAACCAAAAATAAAAAATTTAAAGATACACCATCTTTACAGAAGATGGAGTAATCTGGGGGAGCATGGTATGTAGATACCTAAGGCTTGAATAGAAGTGGGATTACATATCCACTACATTGTTTTTAGAGCAACAAATTGCTTAATACATGTTGATGTTGTATGACATATACAACACCTGATGTTAGCTCTTAAAGAAGATGAATAAGTAAACAAGGACCTTGAGATACAGGAGGCTATAGAACAATTGCTTTTTGGCAATGAAGAACAACAATAGCCCCATATGAAAGAAGTGCCACGAGGCCCCAGAAGGTCTCAAAGAATAAGAAAATCAGATATTTCTGGTGACTAAGAAGTCAATGTTAAGAAAGAAATTCAAATAGAGTGTAATTCCATCTTATTTGAAAAAGCCATGAGAGGCGTTCACTCGTCTAAATGGCAAGAAGCAAAGGAAGATGAAATGAAATCGATAAATACCAACTATGTTTGGGACTTAGAAGAAATTTCCAATAGAGCCAAAACAGTAGGTTGTAATGGGTCTGCAAGACAAATGTGACTCCAAAGGGAATATGGAAAGCTATAAAGCGCCACTTGTGGTGAAATGTTTTACACAAAGAGAAGGAATAGATTATAATAAGCATAAAAGGATTCTTTTAGAATCATAATGGTGTTAGTGGCACATTACGATTTACAGTTACATCAGAAGGATGTAAAGACACATTCCTCAACGGGGATTTGTATGGAAAAGTTTACATGGCATAACTCAAAAGGTTTTGTCGTGGAAGAAAAAGAACGTAAGGGATGTTGCCTGAAGAAATCCATTTATGGATTAAAGCAAGATTCAAGACAGTGGTACTTGAAGTTTGACAGTACAATAAGAAAGTTTGGGTTTTAAAGAAAATGTAGAGGACAATTGCATTTATGCAAAGTTTAAACATGGGAAATCAATTTCCCTAATCCTGCACGTGGATAGCACCTTGCTCGCTAGTAGTGGTGTTAATCTACTGTTGGAGAAGAAGCAGTTCTTGTCCTCAAGTTTCAATGAGAATGATCTTGGTAAAGCGTCATTCGTTCCAGAAATTGGAACTTACTGAGACAAAAGGAAAAGGGGTATTAGAACTATCTCAAATGTATACTTAGAGAAGATTCTAAAGAAATAAAGTATATATGTGAATAAACCTGCGTTTGTTCCTATAGTCAAGGGTAATAGTTTTGGGAACTTTCAGTGTTCCAAAAGCCAATGTGAGATCGAAAGGATGTCCTATATGCTTCAGCTGTTGGAAACTTAATGAGTGCTTATAAGTAAGAACTTACCCTGACATAGTTCATGTATCCGGAATGTTTTGGCAGAAGTCCAGTCCAGATATAGATCACTGGAATAGAGTTGAGAATGTTTTGCAATTATGCAAAGATTTATAGGCCTCATGACGAGTAAGAAAGAATAAGTACTCTCAAATAGTTGTGGGTACAAATGTTAAATTTTGGCGAGATGTTTAGTGAAACCCACATAGTAGCTAACACTCGCGGTTGGAGTTTTATTGTGGAAAAGCTCCAAAGAAACAGTTGTGGTGTCATCAAAGATGCATACCCACAGTATAGCTTGTTATGAGGCTTAAGGACAGGCGAAATGGTTAAAAGAACTTACACCCAGAATTGATAATGGTATACAACAGCAATAACCATTTAAGTAGTTCGCTCCTATAACAATGGGTCAAGTGTGCTGCCAAACACATTGACGTTAAAGTTATACGTTGTGAAGGAGAAAGTCCGGAATCATACTAAAAGTATTGAACATAAAAGTAACAAGCAAGTGCTTGCGGATCCACGTACAAAAGGCTTACCACCCAGTGTATTTGGAGAACACACAGTCGACATGGGTTTATGGTATGGCCTATGATTTCCGGACAATAAAGGGCCCAAAAGTTAAAGAATCTGTTTCAGAACAGAGATGTGTATTGTAGCTGTTTAGTCTATCGGCGATTGACCGTGACGATGAAGCATGCTCTATGCACTAATATGTGATGGAACAAATAAAAGTGAAAGGGATTAAAGTCAAAGTTTAAAGTTAAAGTATGAGTTGAGATCAAGGGGGAGAATGTTAGAATTGATCTCATCCGTCTTGACCCAACGGTCGAGACGGACCCCTTGACCGCGTCCTGATCGAGGATGTCCAGCCATCTAGTGGCTAGTGGGCCCCCGTCGCACAGTGCCTATAAAGAGAAGGTGGGGCAAACGGCTCTGGTAACGAGGTTCACTGCCGCCACCACAACCCCATCGGCTAACCCTAGTTCGATCGAGAGGGAGGCACTGCCAGCGGCGGGAAGCGCCACTGCCGTTGCCACCACCGCTACACCAACCGTCGTTGCCCTGTGCGCAGAGCTTCACCGACGAACCAGTGATGGCCGGATCCGACTCCTCAATGCCTACCGATGGTCTGTGCCTGACCCTAACTCTCCCTCTACCTCTCTGTCCCTCTCTGTACACACCATTTTTATGAGAAACCCAAATGAAACCTCACTGATCTACACCACGGATGATCCAAAGTAACTAACAATGGTATCGGAGCGAGTTCCGTGTAGATCAAGTAGGGAAAAGCAAAGATGAAGAAGAACCGAATTCGATTCGGAAAAGTGAGCCCAAACCCTAACCCTAAAGAAATTGGGCGGGTCCAGGAAGTCTTACCAGGCTTCCCGCATTACCACTACCGCCACGCGGGATGGAGCACCGTCACGGCTTGGCTGCAGCGGCAGGAAGAGAATCAAAAGAACAGAAAAAGAAAGGAATGGATTAGATCCTTTCAAATGAAAGCACACAAACTAGGGTTTTTTCCTAACCCTAATCGGGTGAAGATTGAAGGGGCTCGGTTTCAAGACCGCTTGATCCGAACCCTAAACCCGCGACTCGAACTCGGGGAAGAAGAATAGGGCCCAAAACCCTAACCCAAGATCTCCAACCCTATTCCCAATCGGTCAAAACCGAGAAGAAAAAGCAAGATCCAAGAAATGTAAAAGGAAAAGGGGATGAGGAAGAGTCGGCTTACTTCGCCATCACAAGAAGACTACATCCTCGCCGGCTGCCAGAGAGAAGAAGGCTGAGCAGTGCTGCTCGCTCAAGCTCACAGCCAAAGGGACGCTTGCAGCCATGCCGCTCGACGGCGGCGCGCTCACCCCATTGGGAGCGCTTCGCCCGGCGAGGGGACGGCGACGGCGCCGAAGTCGTCTGCTGCCATTTCGTTTGCTCGGGCTCACCTGCATGGTGAGAGAAGGGAGAAGAGAAGTGAGGGCTAGGGTTTCGAGAGCGCGGCCGGGAGGCTGGTTTTTGATCAGGCGAAACAGCCGGACGGCCGTCGGATTTGATCCGATGGCGAGGAGTCACCGGGCCACTCGGCGCGCCCAGTGGCGGCGGCATGGCCTTGCTTGCTGCCGGCTCGAGCCCAAGTTGCAGCACTGGTGGTTTCTTGGCAGCAAGCGCCGTGAAGTTGGGCCGGGCTGCAACTGCTGTTCTTATAAATGGATTCCATACACCTAGAGGAGAAGAGAGTGCAAAGTATGGAAATTAACTCACTTTGTGCTAACTACCAGTTGATTCACTGCTTAAATGAATAGGCAGAGATCCTGCCAATTAGGGAAAAAAAGTGACGAATTCACCACCTGTATTCTTCTTTTACCTTGCATGTCAGGAAGCAACTCCGTGGATTCCTGTGGTGCTTTGCAATGACTAATGAGCCTCCTATGGAGCTTCTTCCAATCGTTTTACACAGGTGGCGAGGGTTGTGGATTTCTTCAGTTCCCTACTTTCGGTCTAAAGGCTTGGAAACAAACGTATACCCAATGGGTTACTGATTGCTTGTAGTAGTGCTTCATACTAATTCATCATCCATGTGAAAATCTTGAATTCTTTGGCTGTCAGGTTTTTCTTCGATTTCAGCCTCACATATGTTGGTGTGGGGATGATCTGTTCACACCTTGTGAACCTTTCGAGCCTCTTTGGTGCTATACTTTCTTAGGGGGTTCTGTGGCCGCTCATCAGCAAACAAAAGGGAAATTGGTACCCAGCAAATGTACCAGAGAGCAGCATGACAAGCCTGTTTGGTTACAAGGTCTGTCTGCTTGATAATTTGCCTCCTTTCAAAATATACAGAGTACAGATCATCCATGATCTTCTCTTTTATGAAGTATGTTTACTGTGTACCTGGTGCAGTCCTTCCTGTGTATAGCTCTGATTATGGGGGATGGTGTCTACCACTTCACCAAAGTCATGGTTATCACTGTGAATAGTTTGCATGAACGGTTCAAGAACAAACATATTAAGAAAGGTAAATGTGCACCGAGAAATACACCGTTCCATGATCTCTCCAATTTTTATTGCAAAAACTCATTTGATGCTGACTAAGTGAATTGCAGTGAAAGATGAGGATACATCTGCAACAGATGAGACGAAGAGGATGAGGTCTTCAACAGAGACTATATCCCAAATTGGCTGGCGTACACCGGATATGCCTTATTAAGCATCATTGTAATAATCGTCATACCAGTAATGTTCCGACAGGTGAAGTGGTACTATGTAGTCGTGGCATACGTACTTGCTCCTGTGCTAGGGTTCTCCAATGCCTACGGAACCGGGCTCACAGACATCAACACGAGCTACAACTACGGCAAGATTGCTCTCTTCATCTTTGCAGCCTGGGGAGGGAAGGACAACGGCGTCATCGCCGGCCTTGTCGGCTGCGGAATAGTGAAGCAGCTCATGCAAGTCTCCGCCGAGCTGATGCACGACTTCAAGACGGCTCATCTGACGCTGACGTCGCCGAGATCCATGCTGGTGGGGCAGGTGATCGATCGGCACAGCCATGGGCTGCGTCATCTCGCCGCTCACCTTCACGCTCTTCTTCAGAGCATTCGACGACATCGGGAACCCGGACGGGTACTGGAAGGCCCCCTACGCGCTGATGTTCAGGAACATGGCCATCCTCGGCGTGCGGGGCGTCTCGGCGCTGCCGGCGCACTGCCTGGAGCTGTCGGTCGGCTTCTTCGCGTTCGCGGTGGCCACCAATGTCGCGAGGGACTTCTTTGATGCCGCGCAGCAGGTACAGGAGGTACGTGCCCCTCCCGACCGCCATGGCCGTGCCGTTCCTCGTGGGCGCCAACTTTGCCGTCGACATGTGCGTGGGGAGCCTGGTCGTGTTCGCCTGTCTCAAGATGGACAGCGCGGAGGCGGAGCTGCTGGTGCCCGCCGTCGCGTCCGGTTTCATCTGCGGAGACGGGATATGGACCTTCCCGTCTTCGTTGCTCGCTCTTGCCAAGGTGAAGCCTCCGATCTGCATGAAGTTCTCGCCAGGAAGCTAGTGCGATGGGACTGGGAGAGGCGATGAGTAGAAAGAATGGCCTTGTCACATGCGTGCCTCCGTTCTGTTGTCACATGAAACTGAGCTCGTGTTTGTTTTTTCAGAGGAGGCAGGCCTAGAAAGCCATGGATATATTTATGCTGTGTTCAATCAGATTTCAGTTGGTAACGTGCAGCATATACACGAGCGTATCCGAGGTGGACGAAATAGGATACTATAGCATGTATGTTGTCTTTCAGGATGGCACCAACCGTTTTGTTCAGTACCATCTTTTTTTAATGTAACTACGTAAGAGCAGCAGCCGTTCAATTACGGTTAAGTAGAAAAGAAGTTTGTGTTACAGCGGTGCCTAAGAAACAAGGGGGATATGCAAGACTGCAAAGCATCCAATCGAAAACACACTAGACTTAAGCCGGGTTACATAATTAGCAATGCCTAAGAAAAGCCCTCTGTTCAATGTCCTCCCCTGTACAATCTTGCAATTCATCTCACTCATTCAGAATCCAAAATATTAGAACTCGCACGTGTTTCCTCCTTTACCCAAAAAGTGTGTGAAGACGGTACCACCGAAATTATTCTTGCACAGTACAAAGCCTATCCTTGTCAAAAGCTATCAATCTGCCATCCACCACTTCGGATCAATTTTTTTTTGGATTTTTTTTTTGGAATAATCAGCAGGAGCACTGCTATATCATATAAGAGAGGAGCAAGAATCCAGTTTACAGCTTAAAGGTTAACATATAGAATTTTTGGTTGGGAAATTCGAATGAATCATTGAGTGAAAAAGAACAAAGGCCTAGTTCGCTGGTCTGAAACTTGGCTAAAAATGGCTGAAAAATACAGTTCTGGCTGAAATGTTATGAGAGAAAAACACTATTCCAGCTAAAAAAAGAAGCCGAACAAACCAAACTTCGTACCGGCCGAACGAGGCCAAAGAATGACAAAAGATGACACTCTACTGGTCTTCACTCTGTTTTCCTCGATTTCTATTTTCTTATTGAAAAAATTAGTTCTATAACATTAAAAGGTTGCGATATTTGTAAAATACCACCCAGAGATTTCAGTGCCGTAAAATACCACTTAAAGCTACCACCGCCAAACTAAAAGTACCATTCGTTTCAGCGGCCAAGCCGTAAACCGAGACCAAAATACCATCGGGGGTCTGATGCATTCTTCTTCCACTGCGTGCGCACTGGAGGAGGACGAGGCGGCGCGGACTCCACGCGTAGAGGCGGCCGGCGAGGCGACGCGACGCGGACTCCACGGGAGGAGCGGCCCGCCACGAACGGCGCAGGCGGCGCGTCCTCCGCGCGGGGAGCGGCCTGCGCGCGGGGAGCAACCCGCGGCGGCCAGCGCAGGCGGCCCTCGGACCCGACGAAGAGCCCGGCGGAGGCGGCTTGTACGGGCGGCGCTCCCAGGCGGAATCGGAACCAAGCGCGGTGCGGCCTGTCTTCCTCCCGTGCTTCCGTATCCAAGCCTCCCGTGCGTGCGTCCCTATCCTGTACGAGGACAAGGGAAGGGAAAGGGCAAATCTGTCACTTCAATTTTGGAGTTTAGGTCAAGTTAATGGCTTTACGGGGTCACACTCTTTCAATGGTACGGATGTCGCGATTTTTGATGCTAAGGAATCAATTTTCTCTCTTATTCGGGAGGCGGGTAGCATAAAAGAAAGGAATCATGGCGGTAACTGTAGTTTTCCCAGTGCTCTACTTAAGAGGCCTAGCTCTTCCTTGATCAGCCCCAACACTTGAGTCGGCGTCCGCGATGTCCCCTCGAAGGTTCTCTGGTTTCGCTCTTTCCAAATGTTTCAGGCTGAGTACATCAAGATGGCTAATGTTGTTCTTGGGCTGTGTTTAGTTCGTGAAATTTGAAAATTTGGCTACTGTAACACTTTCGTTTTTATTTGACAATTAATGTTTAATCATAGACTAATTAGGCTTAAAATGTTCGTCTCGCGATTTCCAACTAAACTGTGCAATTAGTTTTTTTCGTCTACATTTAATGCCCTATGCACGTATCGTAAGATTCGATGTGATGACTACTGTAGCACTTTTTGAAACTAAACACAGCCTTGGTTGAGTTATTGATCTTTCCTGTAGTGACTTTTCCCACCAGATTTTCATAGTCTGCACGTCCCATCAATCAGTCTGGTCGTTTGTTGGTTTTAGCTAATCCAAACCAGCCAATCAATAGTATTTTTCTTTCACAGCAAACTAGCACCAGCCACCTCCAATCAGCTCAGAAACTCACCAGCAAACAGACCGAAGTTAAGTAATGTGGTCTCCAACCCAATTTTTGACTAGCATCCACACTTCTTTTGCAAAAGGGCAACGAATGCGACAGTTGTTTCTGCCTCCTGATCACAAAGCGGGCAGGTTGGGTTGCAAGGCCAATGCCTCGGCGCTAGCTTATCAGCCGTAAGAACCTTTGCCTGTACTAGCAGCCACGTAAAAAATTTGAGTTTGCTTCAGTATGAGCCTTCCAAATTGAATTTGCCATTATATTCGAGTAAGACCCCATGAACTGAGCCAAGTACGTTGATTTTGCAGAGTAGTTGCCATCCGCTGTCCATCTCCAACGGATTTGATCGTCTTTGGCAAGATTGGGCAAGCCCAGCAGCGGGGACTGTTGCACCATGCGATTCACAGTTTGTTGGTTCGATGGTTTCAGTCCAGGCTTATCAGAATAAATCAGTATTAGTCGGGCTTATCAGCTCAGAAATCATCCAAATAACATGCCGTCAGTGAACAGGGCATCAACGATGGTCGCGGTGGGAAGGGGAGAAAAAGCTCTCTTCTGGCATTCGCCGTGGCTTGATGGCCGGGCTCCCATCGATCTAGCACCCAGTCTATTCAAGTGGGCCTGGAGGAAAAAAACAAACGGTACAGGATGGTCTAATAAATCAAAGTTGGACAAGGGGACTGGAGGATGGAGACCGTCCAGCAAATGGTTGAGTTTGTCAAGTTGTGGGACCTGGTACAAGCCCAACAGCTCTTCGGACCAATCATCTGAATATTTCGTGCTAGCACCACTGTGTAATCTGGGAACGTTCATTTTGTTTCCTCTCCGTCCAAAAAACGGCCAGAGAGACCGGCACGGAATTCTGACCTCAATTCAACCACAAAACAACTGACGAACAGATGGCCTGGGCGCATGTGCAAAGCCCAAGGAGTTTTCCGATGGAAGGAGCACCACCAGGAAACGGGCGGAAAAGACAGTGAGTGATCGCTCCGATCGGTCGCTGCCGTGATGGTACAGCGCAGCGCATGGCCGCACAGCTATTGCCTGTGGCTGTGAGGCTGTGAACGACCCAGAGCGAGTGGGACACTGGGGATAATGTCTCACGTGCAAAGGTTGTTGTGAATGGCTCCGTTCGCGTGTCCTTAAATTCGGCTTGATCCGTTTCTTTTTTTTATCCGGAACAGTGTTTTTCTCTCACAAATTCCTCCAGCATTCCTCCAAACCATTCAAATTCCTCCATAATTCCTACAACGAACCGGGGCCGAGGCAATTTTGATCCCATTTTTTATGCTAGTTCCACAGTATCTCAGTAGTTCCCTAGGATCCGATATCTAAATCAGCTAATTTCAATGAGAAATGGAGTTGTATTAGTTGTGCTGGTATGTTTTTTTTTGTCTTCTACAACATGTTATGATACATTAAGATGTTAGATGTAGGAGTAATGATATTCTTTGGGAGCTGATTGTAGACCTGGAAACATGGACCAATACCGGGTTTGGATAAAAAATATCCTCCCTCAAGGGTCTCAGATGTATGCTGTTGGGTTGTCTGCCATTTGCTAGGCAATTTGGCGAACCAGAAACGCAGTGTATTTTGACAACAAAAGAATAAAATCTACTACTGAGATTGTGTGTATGATATGTTCCTTTCTTACTTAGGCAGGTTTGCCTGCGTTCACTGGTCTAGAAAAACCAAACCAGCTGGCTGCTGCTCCTCACATGTGCACTGTTCATCAACCAGCCGCTACAGTGTTTCTCTCTCACACAACTAGTCAGTTTCAGCTAAGTTTCAGACCAGCGAAGCAGCATGTTGTCCAGTGAGCAAAAGCAGTGAAGACGGCGCCCTTCTTCTTCCACACACAGGATGTGCAGATGCGTAATCAGGAAGAGCGTCAGTTGATCCCTTATACCGGTTGAGCTAAACGCCCGGTGGATGTTATCTGCGAGCTGCGTTGATGAACAGGCGCAGAACTTGGGAGACACTCTGTTAAAAAAGTGTGAATATCGTTTTTTGGTCATACGTTGTTGCGTGTTTAGAATCTGTTATGGGTAGTGGTTTTTTTTTGTCATGCATATGTTCCCTTTGTGATTATGTGCATGAATGCACCTTTTGGTAATGTCTGTGTTTGCTTGAACTGATACTATATTTATTCCGTTGCTATGGTAATGAAATTAGGTTCTACCATTGTGGAAAAAAAGATATAGGAGTAATGGTTTATACTGTACATGCATAATTTGGATCGAAGATTATACGGCCTGTTCGGGAGGCCGTATCGTATCGTGGATTATTTACTGCTGGCCGGTTTGGTGTGAGAGAAAAACACTGTTTCTGGCTGGAAATTTACGATCGTTTACGAGCAAGCGAACAGGCTGTATGAGTATTGATCTTTACGATATGTTACAAGTTTTATATAAAAATTTTTCCATATTTTGCAAAATATGATAGGATAATGATCCTACAATCCGATTCTACAAATCCATCGTGGCAAGGAAAAAAAATCTTAGCAGCGCACTCGAGTGAACCCCACCAGACCGGGCGGGGGAGGGACCGAGGGAGCCTGCCCAAACCAAACTCGCTCCCGCCGGTGTGTGGCTGGCCCCCGCCCCTTGTTCGTGCAAACTGCGGTATCGCCCCTGGTTTTGCGCCGCCGTGCTACACAAGGCGAGCGATGTTTTTCCGGTGCATTTCCTTGCTTCCTTTTGCGGCATTGCCCCAGCATTTCCCTGGCACAGGCAGTCAGGCACTACTACTGGACTCTGCTGCTTAGTGCTTATTTAATTCGAAAAGGCGAGACCGGCAGCGACGAGGACGCTCGACCGGGGCGCTGTCAACTGTCAAGGCAGTAGTGCTGATTCTCGTGGCTGGCGTGCCCCGTCATCATTCAGCCGGAGCCAGGTGTGTTTTTCTCTCACAATAAATCAATACTAGCTGAACTTATCAGTCGGACTTATAAGCTCAGAAACCAAGAAAGCTCATTGGCTCGACGGTGCCGTCCTGTTGGCCATGGCCATCGCTGTCCGCGCCATGCTCGTCCGTGGAGACATCTCGTGCCAGACCCAGACCAGACGATTTGACGAAGACCGCGTGAGGCTGAGACTGGGCCGGTCCTCCTATATCTCTCTTTTTCTCCCAAAACAAAGCCGGGAGTCACCTTTTGTCACGTCAGGCAATGATCGGTCAGCAGTCATCAGACATGATCTTGCATGTTCGAACTCTTCTATTGACAATGGGGTGGAGTAAACGACGGCGATCCGGGAATTTGCCATCCCAGTTCGAACGACTTTTCTGCTTTTTTTTTCACCTACCGCGTGAGCCGTCCGTCACTTGTGAGCCGACTGGTTCGACTTTTTTTTTAGCTGAAACAGTATTTTTTTTTCACAACAATTTAGTTTTGGCTTGTTTTTTAACCAATTTCAGCCAAGCAAACAGGGCCGTACTGTAAGATGCGAGTAATTTTTTTTTGTTTCCTCTGTGTGTTATCAACTTAGAACTCATATCAGTGAATTAATCCGGATTTGAGAGCAGGAGAAGTGATGAAAAGAAAATGACTCAAGAGGAATGAACCACAACGTGGTAGCAGCAGCAGCATCCCTACTCCCTAGCTCCCACGTTTCTCGCCTACCGCAACCCAAAGGCCCTGTTCACTTCTCTTGTAATCGATCTTTTTAAGTTTGTTTTTTCAGTCGGAACAGTATTTTTCTCTCACGACAAGTTAGCCGGAACAGTATTTTAGTTTGTTTTTCAGCGAAGCAAACGGGGCCAAAATGTCATGACACGCGTGTGAGGTACCAAGTGGAAACCGAGACCTGCCACGGCACCAGGTCAACACCCAACCGCACAACGCCAACACACGTGAGATGACTGCGCCGCAATGCCTATAAGTCAGAAGCGGCCGGTGCAGGAGCCCGGCACACGGGATCGGCCAGCCAAACGGTGGTATAGCTCGGATATACTACAGCAGAGTCCTCGCTCTGAAAGCCTGTAAGTGTCCTCGCTCACTATATATATATACATCCGAAAATCACAGAAGGTTTTTGAGTAGAGTAGTTTCTTCATCCGGTTCCGTTCTCGATCCTCATCTCGGAAGGTCAAGGTCGCCATGGCGGGAGGCAAGGTTTACTCGTTTGAGGAGGTGAGGAAGCACAGCGATCGCAAGGATTGCTGGCTCATCATCGCCGGCAAGGTACGTACGTACAACTTACGTAACAATTGATCTTCGTTACCGAAAGTTCCGACGCAAATATCCGTCGACGTGGATGAAATTTGATCCGATGGAGCAAATCAAGGAGCAAGCGTATGCCTTTCTTCCTGGTTTGAACGACCGTACGTGCCTAACGTCCCCGGCCTTGCTGCTGCTCTCTCCTCAGGTGTACGACGTCACGCCGTTCATGGAGGAGCACCCGGGCGGCGACGAGGTCCTGCTGGCGTGCGTCGGTAACTATTTCCAGTTTCCAGAACGGTGACGAGTTAGTACTTAGTAGTGCTTACTGATGATGTCCACGACTCACCGCCGCCGATGTCTTCGTCTTGCGCAGGCAAGGACGCCTCCGCCGACTTCGAGGACATCGGCCACACCGACTCCGCCAAGGAGCTGATGCCGCAGTACTGCATCGGCGAGGTCGACGCGGCTACCATCCCGGCCAAGCTCACCTACGACGTCGTCACCAAGGACGCCAGCAGGTCCGAGAAGGCCACGACGAGCGGCGGCACTTGGGCCACGCTCCTGCAGCTCGCCCTGCCCGTCTTGCTGCTGGCCCTGGCCTTCGCGCTGCAGAACTACACCAGGGCCAAGGCAGAGTAGACAAGACAAGATAGATACCGTCGTTGATTCCGCTGTGTGTGTGATACCGTCGTTGATTCCGCTGTGTCGCGGGCCTGCGGCCTCTTGGAAGCATCTGAAAGCTGAATTAGTTGTTGATGCGAGTCTGATGTGACGTACTGTGACAAAAGTATATCGAACAGGTTGTATACTGCTAATTAATCCGCTCGTGGTATCGTTACTTTCGTAATAATGGTTAAATTTTGTTCCAGGTAAAGTTTTTGTCACTGTTGGGTGGTCCATCATTTCTAATGTTTGTTAGGGGCGCCATAGAAAGGACTGTTACGTTGGTTGTATAGCTGCGTAAACGAAAATATGAATAACTTCCAACTGAAACTTCATATGTTCAGCCTTCGTTCAAACCAAAGCACTTCAAGAACTATTTTCCACAAGAAGCTTCATATAATACCACTCCACTCCTTCAGAAACAAGCACTTCAGGACTCGCATTTCTATTCTTTCAAAAAGCAATCACCATTCTGAAGAACAATTCTCAATGCTCCATGTGCAAGAGGCAGAAAACCTTCCATTAGCGGTAATGTCGACAAATGATTGGATTTGAAGCCCGATGTATATACTGCAAAAAAGTATATCAATACAGGAACCACAGTCTGTATAAACATTATCCTAATGATCATTTCTAGGATTGTATTGTAAAGGAGTATAACATAACTTCCAATAAGGGTGAGAACAAGAACCTATACGGTGAAAAAAGAATCTTTTACATGTGTAACACCGACTTAATTAATCTATGAACAACATGTGAAACTGAATCACTTACAATATTCCTGAGGGTGATGTTACAATGTTTACAGCTCAATATGAATCATCTCTGGATTTTTTTTGGGTAGTCAAGGGTCCAGGAATGATAGGTATTTACATCGTCACTCGGGCATGTAGATTTCCTTTTCTGAAAATTCTCCTCTTAAGGCTTGAACTCATGATTCACCGAACAAAGTGTGGGCGTCCGACCCAGTTTGTCTTAGCAGACCCAGTTTGTCTTAAGCATGAGTGGCTGGGAGGTCAAACAACCCACCACATGGCCACAGGTCTGTTCCCAGTATGAAGGTTTCCATTGCATACCTTGGAACTCACATTGTATGTTCTAATTGCTGAGCTAGTTTTGTTAAGTAATTAATTCTAAGAGTCCAATGTATACTCCTGACGCTAGAAGCCTGCTTCCAGCTGAAGAACTTGCTCTTGTTGTCCTCTGATAAAAGAGGTCAACTCTTTTGGTGCAACAACCGACTTTAGCCACTCTTGAAGCTCCTCGCCTTCAACCTTTTCGTTCTCTGAAAAACGCATGAAAACGAGAAGCTAAACACCACACATAAAACAACTTTTATGTTTACCTGATGAGGCAAATAAAATGGCATATAGCAGAACCATAACATAAGACGTCCAGATCATTAGGCAGATCACCTTCTAAATATGCTCCGAGGCCTTCCAAAACTGCAGGATTAGCACGAATAACTGAAAGAGCTACTTCCAGTGCCGACTGTAAAAGCGCTTTTACTTCCCTCTGAACGAGATCAACTAGATGGCCCTGCCATTAGGTTCCAAATTTGAGCTCAGTGCTTGCAGATGCAGCTTAATAGTTCTTGAAGGTGCAGGAAAAGTTTTGAGGCAAACCTGATCTCGTCCCCATGGAGAGCCACCAGAGTCATCTAACCCACCATTTGACAGTGTAGCAAGTGATATTGGCCCGATGCGCTGATTAAGACCATATTCTGCTACAGCTTTGTAGGCCATGTCAGTAGCACGTCTTATGTCATCAAGTGCACCAGTGGAAACCCGTCCTCCTAAAACAACTTCCTCTGCTGCCCTCCCACCCAGAAGTGTTACTAAACGGCCACGTAGTTCATCAACAAAGAGTAAATATCTATCCTCTGTGGTGGGAGGGGCGTACGTGAAGCCTAATGCACCTCCTGATCTTGGCAATATACTCAATTTCTGAAAATCAGCATTAAAAAGTAACTCAAATTAAATCTTTTTTCTCAGACCATTCTATCAGTAGTTGCTTAAGTTCAAACCTCCACACGTGGCTGTCCAGGAAGAAGGTTTGCTACAGCAGTTCCCACAAGTGCATGACCAACTTCATGCCGTGCAACAACAGCTTTTTCATTACCCTTCAATTTTGCATGCTTTTTCTCTATCCCCTGATAATATAACGTTCACAATTAGCTTCCAGCACAATAGCACGAAGAACTATCATGACTGACAACTAGAATACAGAAAAAAAAAGATATACTCCCAGACATGATTAGATATACATGCTGACATATCAAATGCCATATGCAGAGAAGAAAGAAAAAAGACATGAAATGTTTTTTTACAAATGGTGAAGATGTTGCAAGCTCTGTGCATGGCATGGTTAAATAAACATAGAAATAAGGAAACAAGAAAATTGTATCTTACACTTACGCATAATACAATCTGGATAAGAAATTTCAAATTTCATAGTACAAGTCCTTTAGGTAGAAACAAAAAAAAAACTCAACCTATAGGGGGTAAGACAGCCACCAGGCATTGCATTAAGAAGAAGACCTTCTCACACAGGTCAAGGAAACCCCCGAACCCCTGCCCCACCCATACATAGCGGGTAGAAACAAAACAATTAAAAAATAAAAAAATGAGGAGAAACAACATACAGCTATAGATCGCTCAACCGCACGGATGAAGTCAATCTTTTCCACTATTTCTTTATTTAATCGCCCAGCCAACAAAGCAGCTTCATTTACCAAGTTTGCAAGGTCTGCTCTGTATAGTATAAAAATTATTTAACATGTCAATTTGAAATCTCTACAAGGCCAAGATCAAGATATTGGTGGAATAAGTTTTACCCAGTAAAACCAGTTGTCATTGCAGCAATATCGGCTAGATCTACATCTTTACTCAGTGGAAGCTCTCTTCTGCTCACATGAACTTTTAGAATTGATTCTCTTCCAAACCTATCAGGAGCTTCAACCTGTCATTTAGACATTAATGACATCTGAGAAAAGTTGAGCACATAGCACCATATCTTTTTGAGAAGGGAAACTAACCATAACTACACGGTCAAATCTCCCAGGGCGCCTAAGGGCAGGATCCAGAACATCAGCTCGATTTGTTGCCCCCAGTATAATGACAGCCGAGTTGGTGTCAAAGCCATCCATTTCCTGCGGAGAACCCAAAATTAATAGCCTGTTCGCTTGGTCGTATTTGGCTTATAAGCCATGGCTTATCAGCCAACGAACAGTATTTTTCTCTCACACCAAACCAGCCAACAGTACTTTCAGCCATGGCTTATAAGCCAAACCAGCCCAAACGAACAGGGCATAAGACAGTTAAACCAATAATAATAATGTTTCTACCCTTTCTCATCAAAAAATATATATTGCACGATAAAGCAGTATTCTTAGTAGTGAAGTAGCGTGACTCAAATCCCTTTTAAGTTTTACCAAGAACATAGAACCAATCATGAGCCAATAAAGGCACAGGTAGAAACTTTAATTGGGTCTCAACTTGCGATGCAGCTAATTTGGGAATACTCAAGAAATGAGAAAGAGCACTGTCCTACCGTGAGCAATTGGTTTAGTGTCTGCTCACGTTCATCATTACTGACAATGCGATATCGACCATCACGGCTTTTTGCAACGGCATCAATCTACAAAGACAAGCCAGACAGATAGGGGTTAAGCATACAATTCAGTACATGAAGCTAGATCGTATCATAGATGTGTAGGTTACCTCATCGATAAAAATAATCGATGGTGATTCCTTTTTGGCCCTAGCAAATAGGTCACGTACTCGAGCTGCTCCCATGCCTACATATAGCTCAACAAATTCACTAGCAGAGCAACTTATGAATGGGACTTCTGCTTCTCCTGCTACGGCTTTTGCAAGAAGTGTCTTTCCAGTCCCTGGAAGACCCACCTGTAGATAAAGAATTACATTATGGTAACAAACACGATTGTCAAGCAGTAGTCTACATTACTAAAAGAATTTGCAGAACCAACCAATAAGACACCACGAGGAGGGCGAGCACCAAGACGAATATATCTTTCTGGGTTCCTTAAGAACTCCTGAACAAAAAATATGTATGGACCAGCTTATTTCCCTTCATTTGATTGCTGCAAGTACTACTATCGAATTGTAGGATCCATTACATTCAAAAAAAAATTGTAGGATCATACCACAATTTCTTCCAGCTCTTCTTTTGCCTCATCTACTCCAGCCACATCAGCAAATGTAACTATATCTGTACTTTCGGAAACTTTTGTGCCGCCGGAATTTGAATTCTTCCTATTCCTCAACTGACCGGCTGAATTCTGAGTTTGCATAAGAAATTAGATACATACAAATGAAATGCAGCTAAGTGAAGAGTATGCACTTGCCAATTGATTGAGGTCATGCATCAGTACCTGAGAAAAGCTTATTGGCAACCGCTGCAAAACTACTGCAATCAATACAACATAAATAAGAGCTACCTGCAAAAGGTAAGGGCAGTTAGAGTGAAAGGCACCAACTGAAGAGGGTGTGTATGTAAAGAATACAATCACATGTATATGCATATAGATAAATGCAAGCATGTATGAGAAAAAAACTATGTGCCCGTATAGATGGAATTTCAGTCCTGTCAAATTCCTATTTACAATCCTCAATTAGGATCCCATCTCCTCTACAAGGTTACACAAAACCTAATGCATTAATTTGTCGGTTCCAGATCTACTTTAACATATGCAGGTGTAAAGGGTTATAAATCATCACTTTATCTACAGTCCGAACACTGGATCATATCATATTGCTGAATCATTAGTTACAACAGTATGATCAACTAAACATGTTATCTCCTGAGTCTAGCAATAAAACAGAGCAGACCATATGGTCATGTTGCATCTGTGGAAAACACTTGGATTCAAGTCAGTACAAGTATAACATTATAGAGCAAGCATTTCAACAATTTCAATGCTTAGAACATCTTTGACTTTCCAATCTCTGTCA